CTTAGTAGTAAAGGAAAGCAAAAAAAAAAGGTCTAACCTTCAACTGTAAGAAAACAAAGTATAGTTGTCAGCAAAAGAAAAATCCCAATATTCAGACTACAGATTGGCGATGTCACCATGAAACAAATACAAAAGCTTAAATATATGAGAAGTGTTTTAAGGATGGAAAATGCAACACAGAAATCTATACAATAGATGAGCAAAAGATGCGTTTGGAAAGCTAAAGAAAGTACTAAGAAATAGGAAAATTTCATTAGAAACAAAGAAAAGAGTACTGAACTGTTATGTAATATCAATCTTGTATGGCAATCTCCTCACAAATAAAGAGAAAACTGGAAGTAACAGAAATACAGTTCAACAAAAGGAGAATTCTGTCGATGAGGCACCTTAAGGAAACCAGAAAGAAAAAGGACATTTACATTCAGAATCAGAAAGAAACGGCTGAAAATTTTGGGACATATGAGGAAGGAAGGCTTGGAGAATTTAACATTCACAGAGAAAGATGAAAAGGGAAGGTAGCAAGTTACCTACCTGATGAGCTTGTGTGAACAGGTGGCAGGTTAGCAAAGGGATAAACATTGCGAAGGGCTACAAAAGATAGGAGGTTGTGGAAAGACTTAATCACTCCCATCTTGAAAGGACACAGCACATAGAAAAAGATCTATGGAACTATTAGTCTCTTATGTGACCTTCCTTTAAGAAAAAAGTTTTTCAATTTTGTTTTTCATTTCGGTATTTTGTTGCAAACAATAAATTCCCTGTATTTTGAAAAAGGAGGGATATTTTGTTATGAGTGAGTGCTGAAAAGCTTGTTGCAGACCCGGCAGCGTGCAGTGCTGGTTTATTACAAAGTGGCCTTGTGCCAGACACCACACTTAACTACCGAGTCCACAAGCGATGTATAAAAAAAAAAATAATGATGTGTGAATGAACAGTAAGAGGAAAGGGGTCAATCAACGAGTGCATAAATTAATAAACAAAGAGATAGCCGGAATAAAATGACAAAGACGTCTATTTGTAAAACATGTGTAACTTTTATTAGATGGAAACAAGTAGATTATCTCGTGGTACGAGATCAAGGAAAAAGTTCCGCGCCTAAATAGAAATGCAAGATGAACAAGGCGGGAAAAGGGTTTTATAAGGTTCTGGAAAAGAGAACTCGTTAAACACGACGTGTATGTGATTTTGTGGTTTTTCTTTTTCATGTTCAGGTTCAAAGTAGGGTCTCAGAGTTCGGTCAGGTCTTGAATTAATTGTTGAAAATTTTAACGGAATGCTGTGGACGTCTAGCCAAAAGGACGAAGAGCTAGTTGCGGTTGGTTGCATCGTCTATGAGAAGTTAATTATGGCGAGTCCAGAATGGATGAAGAATATCTGTTCGTCAGTAAGATATTCCTGTCTGTATTTACGATTGACTGACGAGGGATAAAAATAAGTTACCTGTTGAATACGAAGTTTTGCCCACGACTGTCGTGTGTCTCGAACGTCTTCTGGTCGAAAACGGAGAAGGTCTAACCTGCGGGTAGCAAGTTTGTTCATCAATAAGATATCCCTGTCTGTATTTACGATTGGTTCACTGACGAGGGATAAGTTCTGCTTGCGACTGTGTCGCGTCTCGAACGATGTGTCTCAAATGTTTTCTGGTCGAAAACGGAGCAACTGGTTGACCCGCGGGTAACGTCAAGATGAGAAGAAATCTTGGTAAATAAGTGTGGGGTCAACATCATTGAGATAAGATATTCCGGCCCGCATATGGGTTAAGGGCACGGAATAAATGAGTTGCCCATCTAGTCAGGTTGAAGATTGGGAAGCAACTGGTTTGCAAACGCTGTTCGTTTGAGACGCAAAAAACGCGGGAAAAATTCAAAATCTGTTAGTCTGACTTCATCAGTAGGAGCTAGCGTTCTTCCTCCAGGTTACTGCTACGTCTAGCTGTGAGAGGAAGGAAGGGGTGCAAACCAGGCGCACCTGCGCACGAGTGTGAAAGGAAGGAGGAAACTTCGGCGTTGCGTAAAATATAGATGGAATTAATGTGTTAATTCCATAAGCTCATGGCCCAACCAAGAAATAAACCCCTCAAACAAAAAAGTGTTGATTAACCATTTGATCAGGTTTTAAAGAGGAAGAGAGTTCTTCAAGAACTTTTACAGAACCTACTTGTGTAATTTATTTAGTTTTGCCTGCGTGACAATTTTGTTAGAAGTTTTAAAGAATTTTTTTTGGCTGCTTTTTTTTTCTTTTTTTTTCTTTTTTTTCTTTTTTTTAAATATTTTCTTTTCAACCATTGTGAACTAACCTTTTAATTTTTTTTTTTAATTCCTTCTTACAAAAGAAAAGATGGTTGGATAGAGGTAATTACTCCTCAAATTCCACATATTTTCTGTAAGGAATCAAACCGAGTTGCTGAAAGATTTTCAGCCCAACACAATTCTCAGAATCTGTATTTTAAATACCAAATATCAAAATACTGACTTTTTGCAAAGTGGATTGGACCAAGAGCTTTTCACCACCAGCTTGTACCAGAAGAAAGAAATTAGGATCATTGAAAATTGCTTTTCTTGTGGGGAAGGGGGTGATTTCACTGTTGAATTAGCCACATTCTGCACATGCAGGCTAGATTTTAAAAAAAGAATTGGAGCATAATGTTTTATTGATTGATATTTAAGCTATGACTCAGAATAGAACTTACCAATGTTTTTAAATAATCTTGAATCAGTCTTTGTTGCGTCTGTTCAGATTTCTCTTCTGTGACATTTTAGATGGTCTTTTTATAGCATAATTATTTTGACAGTATTTCTCCCAATGTAAATTGGTGCCTTTTCTGTTACAAATCGAGAACATGAAATTATGAAAATCTATCATATGTAATCTAATGTAAGATGAAGTTAAGCAATGTTGAACCTGATCAGTACCTAGATGGCTTGGGGGATACCAGGTGTTGTAAGCTTGGATGTGCGAGCAGTGTAATCGATAAATTCTCAGAATTGAAAATTGAAGAACAGTTCCAATTTATTTGCTTACCTGCAAATACCCTTGAGATACCCATCTCTTCTCCTCCCAGCTATGATTAATTAGAACTTGTATCAGTAAAAATCTTTTATTTAAAAAAATTAAAAAATTCTTACAATTTAAAAATATTTTCTGGCTTTAAATAGCCTGCAAAGATTGAAAAGCTCTAAAAACAAAAAAAAAAAAAAAAAAAAAAATAATAAATAAATCTATCAGTCAAGCAATCTAATATAAGGCTTTCAATTTTTCCCAATTGTTGTTTTGTTTTTTCGCAGTCACCTTTAGGCTTCATGAAAATCATGGAACAGTCTCCCCCCTCATATATATATATATATATATATATATATATATTTGAAAATTATAGCATAAATATATTATAAAATCACTACAAAAATAGCCATTTTGTTTCAACACTTCTGGTGTTTTAACACCATCACATGATAAGACACCAGAAGTGTTGAAACAAAATGGCTATTTTTGTAGTGATTTTATAACATTTATGCTATAATTTTTGAATAAATTATATTTGTTCTACTCTGTATTGAACACTCTTTTAAATATAGTATTTGTTTGTTATTGGAATATATATATATATATATATATATGTATATGTGTGTGTCTTTCATTAAATATGACAGACAAGGTGCTTTGGTTAAGTACAACAAGTTTAAGAAGATTCATGCTTTCTGACCATAGCTCAATTAGGCCTCATTTAAATACTCATGGAGACACACTGAACCCTATTCATAACATATTTGTTGATGATACAAATATAATAGCATCGTCTACATGTAAAAAAAATAAAAAGTAATGGAAGCCTTATTAATAATAATAAACAAAAAAAACAACACTCAATAATATCGACTATGAACATGGACACAATATGTTGACTGTGTTTTGAAAATGAAACATTATATAAATACATACATACAACAATTCATTTCTAGTTAGCATTTAATATATTTCAACCTTGAAAATAGCTAAATGTGTAGCCAAAAGCGGTTGGAAAAAAAGAACAAATGGACAGTTTTTATATAATTTATCTACTGAAAAGAAAAATTATAAGATCACATGAAATATTATATAAAAAAGTTAATCAAAGCATCTTGTCTGTCATGTTTAATGAAACTTGCATGAAAGAAGGAGAAGGATTACTCCCTAAATACAATATATAATATATATATATATATATATATATATATATATATATATAATATTCAATTGTATGGATATGAGTTCGTGACCCTGGGTTTCACGTTTTTGTAATCATTAGACAAAAATACACATATCCCTACAACTGAATATGTCAGCTCTATCATTGATATTAAGTGCTTTCTACTAAGTACTTCATGTATAAAATTATATATATATATATATATATTCTGCATGACTTCTGTCAGTGATAAGACAACCAGCCAAGGATAAAGAATCATAGTTCAAATTTTGCCATTTTTATTTTCAATTCATATTGCTTAGTCAGCAGTCAAAGAATACCAATAAAAAGTACATGCACACACACGTATATGTAACAGGGAATTTTAAAATCCTCCTTTTTTTTTTTTTTTTTTTTTTTTTTTTTTTTTAGGAGATGCTGAAAAGTCCTTGGACAACCCATTTTCAAAAGAGAAAAAAAATATCTATTTAAATGTCAAACCTCAGAATACTAATTTCGGAAGATTAGTTGGACTAAGAACTTGTCAGCATCCTATTGTACTGTACTAAGAGTTACATGTATATTGTGTACCACATTAGAGTTGGTAGCACAATCTATTTGAACTTTTGTGCTTGTTTATTGATTGCTTGATTTATCATCAGCTAATGCTTTTGCTATTGAATAATTTTTTAAAAAAATTTTACTAATATAATTCTCTCAAGCTTTAGGGATTTCTGATATATCAAATGTTAGTCAGACATATGTCAGCAGAACTGATTTTTTTTCTTTTTTTTTTTTTTTTAACATAAAATTTCAAAATTATTTTATTTTTTTTCAGGTTCTACTCCTTTAGATTTATTCAAATTCTATGTTGAAGATCTCAAATCTAGATTTCATGATGAAAAGAAAATTGTTAAAGAAATTTTAAAGGTGAGTGCAAAATTTTTATGTTAATTTGATGTTCTCATTTTATATATATATATATATATATATATATATATATATATATATATATATATATATATATATATACACGTTTTCTGTTTTTTAGTTTACTTTTTCTGTTTTCACTGAATAACAGGATCATTTTTTTCCCCCTGTAAGGAGATCTATCATATGATAATTTTTAATTCCAGAAACACTTTTGGGTGCTTTTTGTAAATCATTTTAACTTTTTGTTAATAATAAAAATAATTTTTTTTTTTTTTTCTTAATTCTCTACACTCCACCCAACTTTTCTTGGCTACTTGATATTAACTTTAACTTTAGGAATGTAAAAGTTTAACTTTTACTTTAGGAATGTACTTAGAAAAATTAAATTTTTCTAAATAATTGTTTACTATCACATTTGAGTGAAGATCTTTATATACTTATTAAATCTGTATCATCTTTTGCCGTAAAATATTAACATAAAGTATTAATAAAAAACTTTCAGGAAAAAATATTTTTTTGTTTTAGGATACTAATTGCTATTACAAGTTACTGTCGATAAAAGTAAACCATGATACATGTGAAAACAAATTTTCAATTGATAACAAAGATTGTAAAATGGACATTTCTTACTTTTGCATTTCATTTCTTTCACCTTGCTATTAGGACTACTTTTTATGATTATCTAATTATATACACACACACACATACATTATTTAGTGGGTACACATTTTTGAGTAGACATCCTGTTGTTAAAACAGTAAAATTGACATCTACCAGCCTTGGCCATCAAAATTCTTATTAAAGACAATCTACTTCTTAACATCGATTGAATCTGCATTCTCTTGGGAAACCGCCTTTAAGCTAGGCATGCTTAACTGTTCAGCCATGAGAGGCCTCACAGCAGAACAAAACACAATTATCCCTTTTTAAGAAAAAAATAAAAATGAAGAATTGAAAGTAAAAGGTTTCCCAGGATAAAGGGACCCAAGTTTGATTCCTTCCAATAGCCACATTTTATTAAATAAGACTTTTAATTGTCAATTTCACAAATTAAAAAAAACAAAAAAAACTGTCTATTTATTTAAACATGTACTCACTAAATATAACATAAGAAATACTTTTAGATTTTAATTTTAAAGTATATGTTGCAGTAAAAGATGCTAAAAGTGAAGTTATTTTAAATACTTTTAGATTTTAATTTTAAAGTATATGTTGCAGTAAAAGATGCTAAAAGTGAAGTTATTTTAAATACTTTTAGATTTTAATTTTAAAGTATATGTTGCAGTAAAAGATGCTAAAAGTGAAGTTATTTTAAACACTTTTAGATTTTAATTTTAAAAGTATATGTTGCAGTAAAAGATGCTAAAAGTGAAGTTATTTTAAATACTTTTTAGATTTTAATTTTAAAGTATATGTTGCAGTAAAAGATGCTAAAAGTGAAGTTATTTTAAATACTTTTAGATTTTAATTTTAAAGTATATGTTGCAGTAAAAGATGCTAAAAGTGAAGTTATTTTAAATAAGCATTCTTTTGCATGGCTGCTGTTTTTATTGAGAATTTGTTTCAGGTCATGTTTTAAATTGGTTAATTTGAAAGAGTTTTTTCTTGACTTTCATCTTCTCTAATCTGTTGTCCTTTTTCTTTTTTACTTTATAAGGATCGAGGTATTATTGTAGAAACCAGCACCAGCTATGAAGACTTTTCATCATGTTTGAACACAGATAAGCGTTCAGGAAATTTAGATTCTGGGAACATCAAACTCACTTATAATAGTGTAAGTAAAACAAACCTGCTTCCATTTTAATCTAGAAAGCTTCTTTATCTGCTAAATCTACTTTCATAAAAATAGATGTCAGTTATAGGCATTAGGCACATTTTGATAAGCATGGTTTTGAGTTGAATGCAACAATATCTCCAACTTCTCAATAATAAATTGACTCCTGCTATATATCATGAAATTTGTCACTTTGCACTACGATATAAGCATTCAAATAATTTGGTCTAAATATGCAATAATTTTGAAGCTTTTCACCAAAACCCTATATTTGTCTTGTTTACTTTAACCCTTAGCATTGCACCCACATCATAAATAGCGGTTCTCAATGTTCAACCTGCTGTAATCCACCCCTATGGATACTCTGGCATAATATATGATGACATCATTGCAAATAACACAGGAAGTCACACAAAGAGTAATACTTTGAGGGTCTGATATTTATTTACAGTATGAGTTTGAGCATGTTGAATGTTAAAGGGTTAATACTTAATGTATGTATGAGAAACATAAAATTAGTTGTGGCAATTTTTTTTTTCCTTCTTAGCCATGATTCTTTAAGATTATTTCAATGCTTATTGACTTTCTTGTATGCTTTTCATATCAGACTAACTATTTCAAACTCTTCAATATATTTTCAGCACACTCACAATAAATATACTGGTAATATAGTTGAGTGACTGTAAATGATTTTATATATATATATATATATATATATATATATATATATATATATATAGTGCTGTTTGATAAAAGTGACTCACCTGATTTTTTTTTGTTTTTTTTTACTAAATGTTCTCTTCTCCGATGAAACGAAAGTTGAGCTAAATTCAAAAGATAAGCGATCTAAAATTCGAAGAAGCAGCTTTGAAAGCTCTTTGAATTTAGCAGTAAGTACTGTCAAGCATCTGTTCAGTATAATGCTCTGGGATGCTTTTTTCATGGAACTGGTTTCTTAAAACCTATTGAAAAGACCCTCAGGAGTGAGCAGTACAAGAGAATTTTAGTCTTGGCTGCTTTCCTTCTGCTGAAAGGGTGCAAATCGACCCCACCAAGCTCATTTTGATGCAGGATAATGCTCACTGTCACAAATCAAAATTGATGAAGGAATACTTTGATGAGAAGAAGGTGAGTGTTATGACATAGCCAACCCAATCTCCTAACCTCAACTCCATAGAAAACTTATAAAGTACAGGCTCTTGAGAAAGCATTTGAGCAACAAAGAGGATTTGATTGTGAATTTCATATCCGAATGGAATTCAATGCTTGGAGATGAGATTTGCCAGAACCTAATGAAGTCAATGCCAAAAAGGGTTGAAAAGGTTATTCACAATAAAGGAGGATCTATAGATTATTACATATTTTGAACTATATTACCTATTATAAATAAATTATACCTCTATTATTCTTTATTTAAAGCTGTTCGGTTATGTTTCTATTGATTACTAGTTGCAGGAAATAAGGGAGTCACTTTTTTTGCACGTTTTTTTTTTTCCCACCCAAATCTCATTTATATCCAAAATTATAATTATCAATAGAATACCTTAGGGTGCGTAAACTTTTTTTACTAGGTGGTCGGGAAGGGGTCTTTATATTAGTAAGATTAAAAATTAGTTTCACTCCAAAAACAATAGGCAAAAAAATTTTTAAGTAAAAAAAAAAAAAATCAGGTGAGTCACTTTTATCGAACAGCTCTGTATAATCAGTACATTAGTAGGTTCCAAAATAAGGTGTATATAAACTGTAATCAGACATCATAATAACCCATTAATTCTCACTGTCCTAAAAAGGTGGAAACTATAAAATCTCTCTTCACAGAATGGTTAAAATTGAACCTTTGTGTTGTGGGTAAATGCACTCTGGAAGCTGTGACTCCCCTGGTCTACATCGTATAATGACCCTCATTTGCATGAAGATAGTACCTGTTCTCACCATTGACCTCTGCATAGTGCCATTTGAACCCCTAGATGACCACTTTGAAACACCACTGGATAGATGTACAAGTTGAAATCTGGGACCACATTTGCTCTAATCTGTACTGTGAATACAGTCTGACTTCTCACTTCTCACTGTTGCTCTTACAACGTTGCAATCTTTGCAAATATTGAATCACCACTGACATGTCACATTTAACATGCCTAACAATTCTCTGAAATGATCTCGGTGATCCACAATTCAAACCCAGGCAGTTCTAATTGGAATAAGCCTAGCATATTTGTATATCCTTGTCATGATATTTGCTTGCCTTGAACTCCTTCTCTACACAGAGCTTTTTTGCAGCTTGCAACACAGGCAATGCACTTAACATGACTTACTATGTTACAAGATGGCAAAAATCTGAAATTTTCCTCAATACTTACTATTACCTAGCATGCACATTCTATCCAGATTAAAATTTGCATCATCTGTTGCAATTTTATTTTCTATCAGTATAATAAAAACAAAAATCTTCTGATGCCTTAATTGACCTGGGAACTTTCAGAAGCCATCAAAATTTTTGCGACTTGCATCTAAATGTGCTGCATACATTCACCATAGTTTGGGAGATAAACCGTGTAGAAAAATGTCTTTAGAGGATTTTCTTTATATCACAGTCTCTAACTTTACTTACTTGGCATTTTTATTTTTTTCACTAATGAATTTATTTAAAAGTACTTCAAATTACTTAAATATCTCTCTTGAAAAAAAAAAAACAATACATTGAACATTATGACTTTTTTTAAAATATACAGAATAACATCTTAGCATTTGATTTCTTTATTGCAGCTCATAGAAAAAGCAGAGGCGCGAGAAAAAGAACGGTTGAAGGAGGAAGCAAGAAAAGTGAGTATAATGATTAAAATCGGACTTTGCTTTTTGGTTGAATACTGCAGGGGGAGCTTATAAAGCTCATTGAAAAAAAACAGGTTTCGCACCAAAGTTAACCTATGTCAAATCTAGTCAATACTTAAATGGGTGACTGTTTAGGAATACCAGGCGCTGTATGCTTGGATTTGTGGGTGGTGTAATGGATAGTGGTTCTGAATTAAATGGAAATTCTTGTTGGGTTCATTATATTTACTTAACTTTTGCAAATACCCTTGGGAAAGGTATGAATCTACCTCCTTTACCCCCCCAACCAAGTTTTAATTAGTAAGACTTGCATCACTAAAGCATTATTAGTTACCCCCTGAAGAAATTCTTGCTATCTGAAGCTATTTTCTGGCTTTAAATAACTTGCAAAAAGTTAATGAGGTGTAAAAAAAAAAAAAAAATAAATAAATGAATGAATCTATGACCAATTTCATATTTTTGTCTGACATGTTTATGAACTAAGTTGAAGAGAATTTACTTGGAATTAGAAATGATAAATTGTGGCAATTGATTTTGTTGAATGTGATTAAAAAAATTTTTTTTTTTTTTTTTTTTTTGCTTTTCTCATCTAATGAAAAAATTAAATGTGCACATATTGCAACAACTATACATTGCAATCAAGAGGGGGGGGGTTAAGTTCAAATTCTTACCCCCCCTCCCCCTCCCCCCGTTGCATTCACTTTCACACAAATACCTTTGGAAAATGCATGAATCAATCTCTTCTCTCCTCAGCTATGGGCTAAACAGTAGAGTAAGCTAAACTCTCTAGGCTTGGGTGGCAACCAGTCTAGGAAAAAAACAAAGAAAAAGAAATCTGAATTCCAGACTGTATAGAAGGCATTGAAAAAGCATTCTATTATCTTTCCCCAGAAATCATGCCAATTTATAGATAATAAAGAAATGGAATTTGTGGAGAGCCATGATTGTCTATGTCCTGAAGGGGCATGGTGCATAAGAGAGGAAGAAATAGTAATAAAAAAAATTGTTGTACGAATCTTTTGAGTGATGAAAAAAAATAAATTGAAATCTTTTACCTGGGTATACTACCACTGCTGCCAGTAAGAATTAAGCATTCATCTCTGCACTGTAGCCAATTTGTTGTCTTTAATTGAATCTTTAAGTTTGTTATGAAAATACCATTTCTGCAATCCTCTTAATTTACCTGTAATTTATTGCTAATTAGGAAAAAGTCCCATTCTCTCATCAGATATTCTATTTCCATTTGTTTTCTTTATTTTTCAAAGATTTTCCAATGCCTTTTATTTTCATCAGAAAATTTGTGTTACCCTATTCTTTCAAATGGAAAAGTGGCTGCCTGCCTTGATAATCGGTATTTGAAATTCTAGCTTTTTACATGGGCATGTATATTGATTGCTGATGTAGGAAAGAGGCATACAGACTACTCAGGCCACAAAGTTACTTTTTATCTTCATTCATTTTATTTTTCTTAATCCACTGCAGGATTCTATTCTTCCCCAAGATTCTATAAAACATAGTATGTATTACCACACTAGCATATGATATCTTTCTAGGCGATTGAGTGAGTTATCCTTCTGAGATCAGTTGTCCTATAATCTTTCCTATTTTACCTATAGCTATGTGAAGAAGAGAGGGATTCATTCATACCTTACCCAAGGATAGTTTTGGGGTGGAAAAATCTGTTCTTTTGTAAAATTCATTAATGTGTCTGCAATGGCTCTTGAAGAATGCACACTTAAAATTGCTTCCTGCACCTAAAGTAGACTTAATGACATTTTTCTTTTCTTTACTATTTGCTAATCTTGTAACTTTTTCCTCCCCCGCTTCCTCTAGATTCGAAGATTGGAAAGTGCCTTCAAGGCCATGCTGAAGCAAGCCACACCATCCATTGATTCCATGTCACGATGGGAAGATGTAAGTATAGCTTCTTTTTCTCACCTGGGATTGGATTTCACATCTTTGATATTCCTTTCATCTCCTTTATCTGATCTTGACATTTTTTTTGCCTGCACGTCATCTTTATTATTTTAGGCTCTCTTTTGCTATTTTAGTCTTAAAAACAAAAGATTCAAATCATTAACTTTGATTTTGTTAGATACCATTACATTTCACAATATTCTTTACGTAAGTGACAAGTCTTCACTGATTGCCTTATCAATATTAGGAAAATAGCAGCATTTGATTGTGCCAGAAATAGTAATGTTTTAACGTCATAGATCCAAAGGATAAAAGTTCTATGCAATAATGGGGAAAAACATTATAGCGTACTATTGGCAAGTAAAGTGTCTCTGATAGTATTTGAAAATTATACCTCTTAAAAACTACCCCCCCCCCCTCCAATCAGACATCAAGAACCAAGAATCCCCATTTATCTATCTCGGGTTTCATGTTAGGGAAATTGTTCTGTCTTTAGACAAAAATATTCCATAGAAAATTATCAGGAATTAAAGGTGTCTAAAACAGGGAGTAGGGTTTTTCTTAGCCTGCAATAAACAAGGGTTTTGTTTTGTCACTGGAGGAGGGCTTGAAAATAATTAATTGGGGTGCTCTTCATAAGGTTGGGGTAGGTTGGAAAATTTCCATAAATAAACCAACATCATCCCTCCAGCCACTGATTACACATCTACAAGTATAATGATTGCATCATTTATATATTGTTTGTTTTTTTTTTGTTTTGTTTTTTTTTTCCTGTTGCTTTTTATTGCAAATCTCCAATTGTTTTTCTACAATTGTTAAGCAAGCAGTCTGAATTAGAAATACATCTGTTGAATTTGCATCATTTATCATTTGGGAGCATATCTTACTTTGACAACTGCTTTACTGATTTAAGGCTTTACCAGTAAACACCACTTGTGTATTGCTATATTTAATGAATATAGAATGAAAATTTGAGAATTGCATTAAACAAATTCTGTTCAAAAATTAATCAAAACTGACAATTTCATTAAAGAAATTTGCTATATCATCTACTTTAGAAGTCTGTCATCAGATTTTTTAGTATATATTTCTATGAAAATTTTTCGGCTAATTCTTTGGTCAGTTTTTAGCAATCATTTGCTTATAGTTATTTATTGTAAATTTTATTTACTGTCAAGGAGAAATGTGGAACATGAATTCTAGACACTAATTAATTTTAAGATGGGCCAGATGAGACCAGAATTGGAGTATTGTTGCCATATCTAGGCTGGATCCTGCCCAATCCTCACTTGTTTGTCTTGATAGAATCCAAGAATGTCTATGCAGGCTTGTGAGTGATGAATTCTTTTCCTCTAGAAAAAATGCATTTTTGCTTGCTCTTATCATTATTTCCATAGCATGTGTTCTGATGAGCTACTTTTCTCAGTCCCACCAGCTCTGACCTTTTTACAACTTGGACCTGCCATGACACACACACACACACACACACACACACACACACACACACACACACAAATGTGAAATAGCCCCGTTCCCTTCATATTCCATTAGTAAGAAGCCAGTTTCACTTGGTCATCTTTTGTGGAACACTCTTGGAAAGATGTTTTTTTTCCCAGCTAGTTGATCTCTTCAAGTTTAGGTTTAACCATTATCTTTCCTGCATTACCCCCATGAACTTCATTTCTTGCCTTTTCTTACACTCCTACAACCCCACACAGTAATCTTCTACTTTGAGTGGCTCTTGGGCCTTGTGAACATTAGTAAAAATTAAAAAAAATCACTTGCTCTTATGATCTAGCTATTGATGTCTTTGACAAAGAAAAAGATCAAATAATCTCATGACGTAGTTGATCGTGAGAGAACAATGTTGTTGTTTATTTTTTTTTTTTTTTTTTTTTTTGCATTGCCCATTTCCTTAATTAGCATCTGAGCGTATATTGTTATATGGCATTAGCAGCAAGATGTCATCCCATGTCTTTAAATAAAAGTGGTGGATGATATAAACATTTCATTTGCTTTTTTGACTTTTAACCAGTGAAGCTGTTAGTTATAGAAAAATACTCTTCAAAAAGCACTTGAAAGAGGAAGTTACAAGCAGGAGTACCTTTGTGTTTTCACTATAATGTTCTACAAAGTTAGAGCAAATAAACATTGACTCCCTCCTCAACCTCTTATGTTCTTAAAATAAGAAAAGTAAAACCCCAATACTGCTAGAATAAACAACCCACAATAGACAATCCGCCCTATTTTACTACACATTATATTAATACTAGCCAGCTAGCTTTCATAAGCAATCTCATTTGTCACTCTACAAATCTCTTTTGTTGGAGATATGGTCACTCAGTTAGAAAAGATCCATAATCTCATATTGCAGACTTTACTCATGTTAGCTTTCATTTCTACTGGAAAAGCTTTTTCTGCTGATTAGATACAAGCTATATGCTTTCATTTTTTTATAACAAAAAGAAAACCTTTCTTTTATATCTAATATAAGGTACAATAGTCATGCTTAAAAATATGACAACCAACTTATTAGATGTTAAGTGATTTATTTCAATGTTTTTTTTTTTTTTTTTTTTTCTGCTCACACCTAATCATTTTATTGTAATAAGGGAAATGTGTTAAATATAATTTTACTTTTTATTTTCTAATTTGAATAACAAATTCTCTTGGCTTTAAATTTTTTTTTTTTTTTTTTTAAAGACTCTAGTTATGTATAAATTTTCTTTGTATAGCTAATTTGTATTATTATTTTCTAGGGGAGCAAATTGTCAAAACAGTTTATAACAAATACTTTGTTCTCTCTCTCTCTCTCTCTCCTTGTTTTTTCTCTCTCTCTCACTCTCCTTGTTTTTTCTCTTTCTCTCTCTCTCTCTCTCTCCTTGTTTTCTCTCTCTCTCTCTCTCTCCTTGTTTTCTCTCTCTCTCTATCCTTGTTTTTTTTCTCTCTCTCTATCCTTGTTTTTTTTCTCTCTCTCTATCCTTGTTTTTTTTCTCTCTCTCTATCCTTGTTTTTTTTCTCTCTCTCTATCCTTGTTTTTTTTCTCTCTCTCTCTATCCTTGTTTTTTTTCTCTCTCTCTATCCTTGTTTTTTTTCTCTCTCTCTATTTTTTTTTCTCTCTCTCTCTATCCTTGTTTTTTTCTCTCTCTCTATCCTTGTTTTTTTTCTCTCTATCCTTGTTTTTTTCTCTCTCTCTATCCTTGTTTTTTTCTCTCTCTCTATCCTTGTTTTTTCTCTCTCTCTATCCTTGTTTTTTTTCTCTCTCTATCCTTGTTTTTTTTTCTCTCTCTATCCTTGTTTTTCTCTCTGTCTCTCTCTATCCTTGTTTTCTCTCTGTCTCTCTCTATCCTTGTTTTCTCTCTGTCTCTCTCTATCCTTGTTTTCTCTCTGTCTCTCTCTATCCTTGTTTTCTCTCTGTCTCTCTCTCTCCTTGTTTTCTCTCTGTCTCTCTCTCTCCTTGTTTTCTCTCTGTCTCTCTCTCTCCTTGTTTTCTCTCTGTCTCCCTCTCTCCTTGTTTTCTCTCTGTCTCTCTCTCTCTTGTTTTCTCTCTCTCTTTCTCTCTCTTGTTTTCTCTCTCTCTCCCTCTCTCTTGTTTTCTCTCTCTCTCCCTCTCTCTTGTTTTCTCTCTCTCTCCCTCTCTCTTGTTTTCTCTCTGTCTCCCTCTCTCCTTGTTTTTCTCTCTGTCTCCCTCTCTCCTTGTTTTCTCCCTCTCTCCTTGTTTTTCTCCCTCTCTCCTTGTTTTCTCTCCCTCTCTCCTTGTTTTCTCTCCCTCTCTCCTTGTTTTCTCCCTCTCTCCTTGTTTTCTCTCTCTCTCTCCTTGTTTTCTCTCTCTCTCTCCTTGTTTTCTCTCTCTCTCTCCTTGTTTTCTCTCTCTCTTGTTTTCTCTCTCTCTCTTGTTTTCTCTCTCTCTCCTTGTTTTCTCTCTTTCTCTCTCTCCTTTTTTTTTCTCTCCTTGTTTTTTTTTCTCTCTCTCTCCTTGTTTTTTTCTCTCTCTCTCTCTCCTTGTTTTCTCTCTCTCTCTCCTTGTTTTCTCTCTCTCTCTCTTTTTTTTTTTTTCTCTCCTTGTTTTTTTCTCTCCTTGTTTTTTTCTCTCCTTGTTTTTTCTCTCCTTGTTTTTTTTTCTCCTTGTTTTTTTCTCTCCTTGTTTTTTTCTCCTTGTTTTTTTTCTCTCTCTCTCTCCTTGTTTTTTTTTTCTCTCTCTCCTTGTTTTTTTTTTTTCTCTCTCTCTCTCTCCTTGTTTTTTCTCTCTCTCTCTCTCCTTGTTTTCTCTCTCTCTCTCTCTTTGTTTTCTCTCTCTCTCTCTCCTTGTTTTCTCTCTCTCTCTCCTTGTTTTCTCTCTCTCTCTCTCTCTTGTTTTTCTCTGTCTCTCTCTTGTTTTTTTCTCTCTCTCTCTCTCCTTGTTTTTTTCTCTCTCTCTCTCTCTCCTTTTTTTTTCTCTCTCTCTCCTTGTTTTTTTTCTCTCCTTGTTTTTTTTCTCTCCTTGTTTTTTTCTCTCCTTGTTTTTTTTCTCTTGTTTTTTCTCTCTCTCTCTCTTTGTTTTTTTCTCTCTCTCTCTTGTTTTTTTTTCTCTCTCTCTCTCTCTCCTTTTTTTTTCTCTCTCTCTCTCCTTGTTTTTTTTTTCTCTCTCTCTCCTCTCTGTTTTTCTCTCTCTCCTTGTTTTCTCTCTCTCTCCTTTTTTTTCTCTCTCTCTCTGTTTTCTCTCTCTCTCCTTGTTTTTCTCTCTCTCTCCTTTTTTCTCTCTCTCCTTGTTTTCTCTCTCTCTCTCTCCTTGTTTTTTTCTCTCCTTTTTTTTTTTCTCTCCTTGTTTTTTTTTCTCTCCTTGTTTTTTTTTTCTCTCCTTGTTTTTTTTTTCTCCTTGTTTTTTTCTCTCTTGTTTTTTTTCTCTCCTTGTTTTTTTTCTCTCTCTCTCTCTCCTTGATTTTTCTCTCTCCTTGTTTTCTCTCTCTCTCTCTCTTGTTTTTTTTCTCTCTCTCTCCTTGTTTTTTCTCTCTCTCCTTGTTTTTTTCTCTCTCTCTTTTTTTTTTTTCTCTTTCTCTCTCTCCTTGTTTTTTTTTTCTCTCTCTCTCTCTCTCTCTCCTTGTTTTTTTTTTTTCGCTCTCTCTCTCCTTGTTTTTTTTTTTAGAAGAACTCTCTTGTTTTTTTTTTTCTCTCTCTCTCCTTGTTTTTTTTTTCTCTCTCTCTCCTTTTTCTCTCTCTCTCTCTCTCCTTGTTTTCTCTCTGTCTCTCTCTCCTTGTTTTTTCTCTCTCTCTCTCCTTGTTTTTCTCTCTCTCTCTCCCTTGTTTTTCTCTCTCTCTCTCTCTTGTTTTTTCTCTCTCTCTCTCTCCTTGTTTTTCTCTCTCTCTCTCCTTGTTTTTTCTCTCTCTCTCTCTTTTTTTGTTTTTTCTCTCCTTGTTTTTTTCTCTCCTTGTTTTTTTTTTCTCCTTGTTTTTTTTCTCTCCTTGTTTTTTTCTCTCTTGTTTTTTTTTCTCTCCTTGTTTTTTTTCTCTCCTTGTTTTTTTTCTCTCCTTGTTTTTTCTCTCCTTGTTTTTTTCTCTCCTTGTTTTTTCTCTCCTTGTTTTTTTTTCTCTCCTTGTTTTTTTTTTTCTCCTTGTTTTTTTTCTCTCCTTTTTTTTTCTCTCTCTCTCTCTCCTTAAACATTTTTCTCTCTCTCTCTCCTTGTTTTTTTCGCTCTCTCTCTCTCCTTGTTTTTTTTTTCTCTCTCTCTCTCCTTGTTTTCTCTCTCTCTCTTGTTTTCTCTCTGTCTCCTTGTTTTCTCTCTGTCTCCTTGTTTTCTCTCTGTCTCCTTGTTTTTCTCTCTGTCTCCTTGTTTTCTCTCTGTCTCCTTGTTTTTTCTCTCTGTCTCCTTGTTTTCTCTCTGTCTCCTTGTTTTCTCTCTGTCTCCTTGTTTTCTCTCTGTCTCTCTCTCCTTGTTTTTTTTCTCTCCTTGTTTTTTTTCTCTCCTTGTTTTTTTTCTCTCCTTGTTTTTTTTCTCTCCTTGTTTTTTTTCTCTCTCTCTCTCTCCTTGTTTTTTTCTCTCTCTCTCTCTCCTTGTTTTTTTCGCTCTCTCTCTCCTTGTTTTTTTCGCTCTCTCTCTTTGTTTTTTTCTCTTTCTCTCTCTCCTTGTTTTTTTTCGCTCTCTCTCTCCTTGTTTTTTCTCTCTCTCTCTCATTAATAAGAAATATTAAATCTGCATAACATCTTCCTGTTTGATTAATTATCAATTAGCTGTGTATACATGGTTATAATGATTATATTTCACATTTTTAAAAAAAATTGAAGAAGCAATGTTGCAATTTTGATATTTAATTCCTATATTTTATTTAAGAAATAGTTTTCAAAAGAAGTGTTTGATTACATTTTGATAATAAAAGCCAAAACTTTGTACGGCTAAGTATAAATGAGTTAAAGAAAATATACAAGGCTAAATCAGGTGGTTGTTTGTGTTACTCTTTCAAAAGAAGAGAACCTTTTACACTGATTTATTTAAACTGTTGGTCTCATCCTAGTTATCATAGGAGAAAACCATTTTCACTTTTGTACCCTCCAACCTTCTTTTGATGCCTACTATATTCATTAACATTTTTGGAATTTCAAACTGAATCCTTTATCGCATTGGACTGTTCTCAAACTGAATCCTGTATGGCATTGGTCTGTTCTCATACAAATTTCTATGTTATGGAATATCTTATGTGAGTTAATTCTTCTCTCAATTTGTCTTTTATTGGTTCTTACGTGTAATGCTGCTTTGGCTCGTTCCACTGAACTATAGATTATAGTTTCCATTGTCTTACTCAAGGATTGAACTGTCAACCACTAAACTGTAACAATTAACCAAGTTTTATATCATCTATGACAAATCAAGTGGTGGAATTTTAGAGCCATAATTTCTATTCTTTTCTGATGAAAGGCTTCAATATGGTGTTCATTTCTTTGCTTAACCTATTAAGGAGGTTATCAGACCTGACCAAGTGCATGGATTCTTTGTTGTCTTATTCTGCCTACAGTATTATCGAGTAGTTTTGGCTTAGCAATGCTTGAACACTGACTCTGGCACTGGTGGTACTCCACCATTTTCATTCATTAAAAGCTAATAGCTTTTATTTATTGTATTAAAAAAGTGATTACCCCCCAAAAAAAAAAAAAACTTATTTTCTCTCTTTCTCTCTGGCCCCTATTTAAGGCATTTCTCACAAATTTTGACAGGCTTTTATTTATTCATAACTAACATGTTCCTAACATGTTGGTGCTTGCACTGTTCAGGTTTATTGATCCTTGTATTGTTGACAAACTGTATTTAGTGGCCAAACATTCAGAAGAGAGTAGCCTGTCATTATTATTTAGCAAATAATGTTTTAGCCTTCATGGATAAGATGATCAGAGAGAAAGAATAGGAAACCAAGCACCAAAATTTCTTTGCTTTTTCTCTTCTATTAATTGATTTTGATTATAAACTAATATATAAGCTTAAAAGTCACCATATCAGGTGGCATTTAAAACTAGCTCCTGCAGAGGGCTCTTGATTGAGCCTTCATCACAATAGGCCACAATAAACTACAGAAGAACTCCAAATTGATTGCTGCATTTAAGTATTGCATTAATATTTAAGCTTACCTTTTAAAAGTTCAACAATAATTCTGCCACCATATAATTTAAAAACAATTTGATGCATGTAGGTCCTTACTTTCTGTACAAACAATTTTTATTTTGTGGGTGACATTCACTGGATTACACAATTAATTTTGATTATTCCCAAATTTTTTCCAAGTTATAAAAATTTGTTGTTATACAAAAAATCATGTTTAAAAAAAAAAAAAAATCAAAAACAATTGTAATAATGAAAACTTGGGAATCCAAAATTTCAGGATTTTGGTTCCAGATCCATCCTGGAATGTTTTTAATTTGCTCACAGTCAGCCTGATTCCAAAATGATATGTTAGGCTACAGCCTCTGGGAGAAAAGTTGAAAGTATGGCACATTGACATTTGCGTTTAATATATAGATATAAACTATTTCTCCTCTTTTGCTTTAACTGAATCCCTTTATAAGTCTTAAAGAAACAAAATTCAAGCTGAATGATTTGGAATACATTTGAATGTATACACATTAAACATTAGAAATATAGGAGGCAACAGCAGATAGTTAACAAATCGCTTTCATTCAGTTTTGCTTCTTACTCTTTTCTTTCTTACCATGTGTACTGATATCAGCAGTAGCTGTGATGTTTCTTTAAAAGGGTGCCCATTGGAGTCAATTACTTTATTCTTAACTACAAGCAAACATTTCACTTGATGAAATTTTTATACATCTTATCACAAAGATAGCATTAGAACTGCCTTTCCTGAAATTTTGATATTCCTCAAAGAGATGACTTATAAGAATCCTCCTTATTTTTCAATAATATTCACATGTAATCCAACCCAGGGAAAATGGACTTTGCTGCAAACCAAAGAACTGAATTTACTGTGGTCACTTTCATTGATGAATACATAGATCTTTCACTTTCATATCCAAAATATTTATAATTTTGATATTTAACAGGAGCACTGTTTATTTTTTTTTTTTTTTTTTTTTTTTTTTTTTTTTTTATTTTTTTTTTTTGGGAGAGTTGTCTGTAATTTATATTTGGACTATTGTCCTGATCTTTGTTATTATGTTTTGGCCTTCCTTAGCTGTATATTAATCTGGGTAACCTATGGGGAATTCTGAACCAAATGCTTTATTTAATTTATGGGAGTAGGCTGTTCTAGTTTCAATCTAGGTTAAATAAAAGGAGTCAGTTCAGAATTACCTGTAGTTTACTCAGATCAATATACACCTGAGGAAGGCCGGAAGGCACACTGGCTGAAACGTTGTGATAGCAACAACAAAGATGTGGACAATAGTCCCAATATAAATAGTGTAAATAATGATAACTCCTCCTCCAAGAAATTCAGACAGAAAATAGTTTGTAATTGTAAACATTTTCATAGTTGTTATAATTATTCTATTTCTTTTTATGGTTAAATTGAAATTTTATCATCAGTTCTATGAGTTTCTGCTGCTTGGTGCAATTATCTGGCAAATTAAGAACTTCAGCTTTTCTTGATTATTTCTTCAAATTTATATTTTATTAATTGATGTTAATCATAATATTAATCATTTCTTTATAAGGAAATATGTCATTCATTAACAAAGCAGCCAATGCTACTTTCAGTTGAAATTTATAAGATGTTTTGATTAAAACAATTTTTCACAAAAGTAGGTTTCTTGAGTCCTGTAACAGTTATTGTTCTTTCCATTATCAATGGCTGTTTCCTTCCTAACCTTTTGTTTGAAGTAGTTTGGAAAGTCAGTATCTTCAATATGTCATTATTTTCTCTTTGAATTATATATGCTATCTGTTTTAGTTGTTGCTGCTGTTGAAAGTCCTTAAGTAATGTGATTTCTGTTATTCCAATATCATTCAGCTTAAATTTTGTTTCTTTAAGACTTTGCTTCTCTTCAAAGTAATTAATTTTATATAAAGGGATTCAGTTAAAGCAAAAGAGAAGAAATAGTTTATGTATTAAATGCAAATGTCAGTGTGTCACACTTTTTCAACTTTTTCCTAGAGGCTATAGCCTAATATATACCATTTTGGAATCAGGCCAACTTTGTGAGCAAATTAAAAACATTTGCAATCCTGAAATTTTGGATTCCCAAGTTTTCATTACTGCAATTGTTTTTGCTGATTTTCTTTATGATTTTTTTGTATGATAACAATTTTTATAACTTAGAAATAAATTTGGGAATAATCAAAATTAATTGTGAAATCTAGGAAATGTCACCCATGAAATAAAAATAATTGTTTGCACATCAAATTGTCTTTAAGTGGTGGCAGAAGAATTATTGTTGAACTTTTAAAAGGTAAGCTTAAATATTAATGAAATACTTAAATGCAGTGATCCAAAACACAGACAATCTTAAAATGGAAGAAATGTGAGTGAGACTGGTGTATAACAAACAATCGATGGTTAAATTGGAAAAATTGGTTTAATTCTTGTGAAGTAACTAAATCAATCCAACAGCATCTTAGAAAAGTGAAGATTTTATATACAAGCTACGTAAATCTGGTGATGTAAATTGGCGAAGTGAACTCTGTTCTTGTAGAGGAGAAATTTAGCAAGTGAACCTCCGATGGAAAAAGTATGATGTGTAGCAGACAAAGCAAATGCAAAGAAATGTGTTAAGAAGCATTGAAACTAAGTTTTTCTTACTAAAAAACAATTACCTATTTATATTGACTCTCAATGATGACCCTTGCCCTGAAGCCACTTTATTCAGGATGTAGAATTAGTATATACTAAACACTTCAAATACCTCAGTGTATGGATCAGTTATAAGAAATTTACTATCAGAGTAGAGGAAACTTTGATACTAAAATAATTTGTTTTCTAATATTTATGACATTTTGTTGTCATTGATTCTTTTATTTTACACCCTTCTATTTTTTCTTTTACTATTAAAATATTTTTTCTTTAATTTCTTCAATTTAGGTGCGAAAATAACATTAGAAAAAGAAGGTGCTTTTGAGGCAATAACCTTAGAATCAGAAAGGATTCGATTATTCAAAGAATTTCAGGTAGCTGTTCTTGAACAGTGTTCCCATCACCACTCAAAGAAGAAAAAATCGAAGAAACACAAAATCAAGCGATCCAGGTCAAGATCAAGATCAGTGAGTCAGATTTTTATTATTATTATTATGGAATCCTTTTTCACCTCAAGTTGTAATAAATAGATAAATAAATGGATTTATTTTCATATAATGTTATGCTTAGATTTTTAATTCTAATTTCATTATGAGATTTCACAGATAGACAATTTTTAACCAGCATTGTACAATAAAAACAACCAGAATTCATTTTGCTAAACATTGATTTTCTGATTTAATACTTATAAAGGTACTGAAAAATCCTCGGCTTGACCCACTTTCCAAAATCTGACCAGATAACCAAACATCGGAATTATTTTTTGGAAAGGCTTCTTGGTTGGTCCAAGAACTTTTCAGTACGTTTGTGAGAGTAAAAGACGTAAAATAACAATTCATATATGTGCAATTTTTTTTTTTTTTTTTTTTCCCTCACTTTACCCCCCCTCCCTCCCCCCCCAAAAATAATGGAGTTATGCATTGTTACTAATTTATCATTTATTTGAATAAAAATTAACTTCAAGTGTAAAACCCAAGTAAAGTAAACTGGAAATGTTTAAGGTCTTTAAAATCTACATAATGTTATGATGAATATCTATGAAACACTGAGGAATATATTTCTATTAGAACTATATTAATAGAACATGGCTCAAAAAAAAAAAAAAAAATGTGGTAGGTAGGTTAAGTTTCTCAGCCACTGTTCATTAAAAAAAAAAAAAAAACGATAATTTTTTACACAATGATTGACAGTAGCCTTTGGTTCTACTTTTGATGCTTGATTATTTATAATGAACATGTATAAAACGATCTCCTGTACTGAATTCTAACTCCTTGTTTTGCAGTCAGAATCTGAAGATGATCTATCATCTCGTCACAAACTAAAGAAAAAAAAGAAGTCCCGATCAGCATCACGGTCACCTAGTTATATGTCTGAATCAGGTCAGTATATCCAACTTAGCTCTTCTATTTAGTTCTGTTGTAAGTGCTGTTTTCTTTGTTGTCTATATCTGCATAACCCTGGCTGGTTGGTTTAATATTTCCATTCCTGTTCTCTGATTGCAATTATAGTTACTTGAACTGTAACTCCAGTTTTACAATGTATTTCCCAAACAACCTGCACAGTAGGCTTGCAAGTGGACATTTGGGCATTTTTTAAACATTTCCCCAAATGAGATTTGCTATATATCGTCTGAACAAAGACAGTCAGGATATCAAAACTTGTCTTTCTCGTAGCTCTATTTGTCAAGTTATCATTGTTTGAATTTAATAAAAACTTTCAAATGTTTGCTCATTTATTTTTTAGATGTTCAAGTTTTGGATAGTTGCTTTTTCTGCCTTTTTTGTGCCCGAAAAGTCATTGGAATTTTTTTGAAATTAATGTTATGAAGGACAAAGTTATCACTTGACATTCTTTTATAAAAATAACTTATATCAAATGGTTTGGGGGCCCAACATCACAAAATTCTGTCAGATTATTAACAATATTTTCCTATTCTTTTGTCTCTGATCTATATCCCAACTTTGAATAACACTAACAAAAATTACCTGAGACAAATTTTTTGTTTCCCTTTTAGTATAAATTCCAAATATTAAAACAATTTAAAATAATGCAAAATGTAAAGAAATTGTTTTTGGGAAGATATTTAAAACATACTTAGTTCCTTTCATGATTTAAATTGATCATTACTCTCCTTTGGTACCATATGTTGCATGCCAAATACCAGTTTTTGAAGCAAATTTCTTCACATTAATCAGAAAATCATGATCAAGACCTCTATTCCAATGTTTTGGGGTTGGTGTTTCACTGACCCCAATTAAAGAAGTCTAAATAGATTAAATGCAAAATATAAGCTCTTTTCAGGAACTTTGGCTCTTCACTACAGACCGGGGTTTCTAAATCTCAATTTTTTTTTTTTTTTTTTTTTTTTTTTTTATGAAAATTTTTAATTTTCCTTCTGGGGTACAAATAACATTTCCTACACTTCTATAATTGAGCTGAAAATCGTTCAAGAACCATGATTGTTCACTTGACACTTGACTCTATTGTACATAACCACCATTCTTAACTCCTGTTTGTTTACAACTGGCTTTGGTGTCTCTTCTGTAACAAGAGTCTCCAGTCAGAAGTAGTAGGAGGTGATATCAGAGTAGTAGTAAGAGTACTCAACAATTTACCTTCTTTGTTTTAGCCAACTTGTCATCAACTTTAATTGTTCTAACAACTGAACGTTAAGAGTAACCTCTTAGAACTTAAACTGCATTCATCCAGTTTTTACTGATTTCTGTCAAATTTTAAATGTGAATATATGATAGAAACATCACTATATGTTTGTTGTATAGAATATTTGTTTTGTTACCAACATCCAGGAGTTGCAGATTTATTTGTGGCCAAGTGGCTACTATTTATAAAGTTAGATGTACATTTGAAGTACCTTTTTATTTATGTTTGAAACATATATATGAGAGAGACATGCAGATGCACACACAGAAAATATATTGTTTCTTATTGCTATAAAAGTTTTTTTTTTTTTTTGTATATATATATACACACATACACACACACACATTTATTTTTATATATTTAAGTTAGCCAAAATAGATCATGTAGACCTGGTATTTAATCTCTTTATGAACTTCCCAATAAATTTTTTATCAGTTCAAACCCTGTTACTTTATTATTGTTTTAACTGAGTTTTATGTTCTGTATCTTCCCATTGGAGTAAAATCATCGTTGTATGCATCATTTATGAAAACTGATAAGTGTTTGCCATCATAGCATTTGGTAGTTTTGCTGCTGCTATTTATTATAAAGCTATTATCTGTTAGATCATAAAGTACATCACCCAACCAACCGGGTGGAGGGGGAAGGAAATGATCTTTTACATTATCAGAAATATATTCTGTGCAATGAGCATGTCTTATTTATATATATTTTTATTTGAATGGCAATACTTTTCAGAAATTGATGTTAGATACCAATATAATGTCTTCTATTTTGTTATACTTATATTTTTAAAAAAATTTTTTTTTTTACTTAAACAAGCATCTTTTCAACATGAATAAAATAAAAAGCACTCCTTCTTTCAACATTTTCATGATTTTATTTTATTTTTTTTTTTTTTTTTTATTTTTTTAATTAAATGCCATCCTTTTTTTTTTTAATTAAATGCCATCCTTTTTTCTTTTCTTTTTTTTTTTAAATGCCTACCTAATATAAAAAAATTTTATAATTGTACCCTACTTCATATATGTGAAAATACTTTTGGGTTTGTTCACAATTTTCTTTTTTTTTTTTTTTTTTTTTTTTTTATTATTAAAAACCAGAAACTTGAACTGCAGGTGTTTTATAAACAGTCTGAAATTTATTTACATTTGGGCTAACGTCCTCATCTTTGTTGTTATAATTGTAACATTTCGGTCATTGTGCCTTCTGGCCGCCTTCAGGTTTGTCAATTCAGATAGCCATCATAGAATTTTGAACTGAACCCTTTATTCAGTCTAAATTTAATTTAGTAGATTATTTAATATATTAAATTTAGCCAGAGGACACAATAACCAAAAAATGATAACAACAAAGATGAAGGTATTAGTCCAAATTTAAATAATAACAGCTCTCCTCCCAGAAAGTAAGACAGAAATTGTCTAAAATTTGTAAGTATTGGTACACAGAGGATAGTTTTGTTTTTCTCTTCTTTATTAATTTCAAAATGAATATTTACTTTGGAGATATTTTAAAATGCTATGTAGAATATTTGAAAAATAAATGCATTTAACACTGCATGTAATTATTCACTGAATAATTTGATTGAATTTGGAGTTATTTTTCATTCTACTAAGATATTATATGGCAGTTTGTTTTTGTTTTTTAAAATTGTTCACCTAAGCATACTAACAGATGGAAAAGGGTCTCAAAAAGATAAAGAAAAGAGAAACATTTCAATTGAAAAGTTGCTCTTTTCTTCTTCTTTTTTTTTTTTTTTTCCCCCCAAGCATGCAAGGGGTTACAAAAAGTGAGAGCAGGAGTAAAAAGGGTGTTTGAGGAAAGGTTATACAGAGGGGCGGGAATCAAGATCAAAGCATCAGAAGATGTCAATTGACATTACATTTGAATATTTGAAGATTCTAGCAAGTAGGAGGAAGGGATTTCCACTGACAGAGAGTGCGAGATAAGCTGTTGGAGTAGAAGAGACTGCTACATTTAACTGTTTCAACAGTGAAAGGGTGGGACAGGAAGCCAACCTAGCAGCATGCTTAAATTCATGAAGTTTGGGAACCAGTGAAAGTAGCACAGTTGCCATGAAAATACTTGTATAAAAGACAGGGAATCCACAGCATGTCTGCCAGAGAGTGACTGTAGATGGGATGACAGATTAGAACCTATCACATTGCATATCTATCTCTAGGTTTTGTCAAGGACCTCATGATGAACAGCGGGGACACCAGCCCATATATGGCAGCAGTATTCAATGCAAGGACAAATGGTTGATTTGTAGATTTGAAGTATAGACTCAGGTGAAAGAAATCTTTTTTGAACGATAGATATAATTTAAATGCATGTTATTCATTTGAGCAACAGCAATGACAACAAACCAAGGTGTATTAGTTATTTAGCTTCAGTTAACATTTCTCTAAAAAAATAAATATGCTTAAATGAAATAATAAAAAATGTGCAGTTACATAGAGGATATGGAAAATATTTATTCCTTGCTCTGGAGTAACTTCTAAAATTCTCAAATACTTCAAACCAGGGCTGTGAAGTTGGAACACAAAACCTTTGACTCCAAATCCTCTATTTTTGGTACTTTTAAACTCCTTTCTATGTAATTAAGTGATTATAGCTACAAATCTCAAAAAAGCATATGTATATGCTTCTAACTTCAGTAGGCTTATATCATCATAACTGGTTTATATCAAAGAATAATGATATTGTGGCTTCAGTATTTTCTAAATGAATTAGAGACAAAATCTTTGAAATCATATAAAGAAATAACAATAAAAATAAAAATTCTATAATGTAAGACTTTTTACATAAAGTTTAAATTCAACTGGAGGCTGAATAGTTTTTCCGACTCCAGTAAATAATTGCTTCCAACACCATGACTCTTAACTCCACAGCTCTGCTTCAAATTGAGTAAAGCCAAACAATAGCTTCAGTATGACTGTACTTCTGTCTAATATATCAGTGTCATGAATTTATCCTGTTTGATTTGCTTCAAGTATCAAGTTCAACTCTATTCAGAGATTTTCTACTTCAACATGCTCAATATTCAAATCAAAATGTAAATGAAGTTATCACTTTCAACAATTAAAAATTGGTGATCAGTTTTTTTATAATTACTTGTATACTAATTCTTTTAAACACATTAACATTAATGACCTTCCTGGACATGGAGCAATCATGGTTTCTCCAAGACTTCCTGCCTTTTATTCTCTAAGTAACTCTTGGTTCTTTATTATACTTCATTGTTTTTCTTCTGTCATCCATTTGCAAAAAAATTCATTAAGTACATTACTGTTCTTGCTTTCAGTATATTTTGTGGGTGTTAAATTCTCTCAGCTCTCTTTCCTTTCTGTCCCATAAATTTTAACTCTTTCTTTCTGATTCTATGTTTCCTTGTAGTTCTCATTTGTCCTTAAAATCTCCTTTTTGCATATGTTCAGCTCATTTATAGAATCATGTCTCTGTTGCTTCAAGTCTCTTCATCTATGTGAAAATTTTCCAGCATTCACTGCTATATAGAATGATACATATCACGTTGCAATTCAGCAGTTTTTTTCTTTGTTTTTAACATCATTTTTATATCTCTTCATACTTTTATTAGTTTCTAAAAGTTATCTTTGGAATTCTGTGTCACATTTACCTTTGATACTATGCTACACTGGCAGCTAAATTTCTGCACCTGCTTGCCTTTGATATCCCCAATATGTAGCTCATACTTTGGCCTGTCTTTCTTCTTAGGTTAATAGACCTTTTGTGTTGCTTTTACTTAGTATTTACTGAAAAGTTAATCGTATTTCTTCTATCCTTAGTTAATTATGATAATTTTAAAATATAATTATGTAAGAGAAAATCCTTTGATCTGATTGTTATATTGATGATTATAATCTCTTGTTGCAACAGAGATATAAAGTGGGTTTGGTAGTTATCTCTTGAAAGGTAACATTTTAATCATTCTGTAGTTGATAATTGTCATTCAAAATGTTAAAATAACTCGGCAGTTACTTATAACCAAGATTCCTGATTGCAATTATTTAATATAAGTACAACTTAAGTGTGCATGTGTTTTATTGCCATTGTGTAATTCTCCAATTTATTATGATTTGTTTTGCTGGACATTTTGTTTTCCAGCACATTTCAGTTTCTTTTTTTATGGGCTGATAAAATTGGAATTGCCTTTTAACTGGTTCTCTTTCCAAATTTTTTTTGTAAAATTTGGAATAACCTATGCTGTAACCAAATTTAATTCTTGTATCTCAATCATAAATTTTATAGGACTATAGTGTACAGTTGACTGAAATGATTACTCTTAATTATAAAATTTCAACACCGTTGCTTGTCCAACTCCATATTGATTCATTCATCTAAAGTCCTGTGGCCTGTCTTTTGAAATCTCTGTTCTTTTTTTTTACTATTTCATTATTAGAATACATTACATGCATTAATGCATATTCAATGAATGCTTGGCCCCAATTGTTCTATAGGAAACTGTCGAAAAAATAAGTAAAACCTGTTCTTTTTTTTTTTTTTTTTTTTCTGACAATTTATTTGATTTTGTTGTTATTTGTTTTTTTTTGTTTTGTTTTTTGTTTTTTCCAGACGACCAAGAGTTGGAAAGGGCCTCCAAACGACACAAAAAGAAGTCGAAAAAGAAAAAGCATTTCTCCAGAGTAAGTAATGGATGGCATGAAAGCTGCTAGAAATTTTGGTTGCACCTTGACTGCTTCTCCCAACGCTTTAATCTACAATTTTTCAAGATTATTAATAAATTCCTTTTAAATGTGCATCTCTCTCCCTTCATAAAAATAGATATACATACATATATAATATAATTACTACTACTACTACTATTATTATTTATGCCTACATATGAACAACTAATGGAAGAATTTCTCTTTTCTGTAATTACCTTTTTAATGCATTAAAAATTTCATCAAAACCGTTACTATTTTAATCTCTTTTTGCCATTCTTGAGCTTTTCTTTGGAGGCTCCGGTCATTATTTTTGTTACCATTTCAATCCTCTTGATGATGATGATAATCTCAAAGTCTCTTTCCTGTCTTTTTTTATTCTTAATTTACTGCCTTCTTTTAATTTCTATCTCATTCCCAGCAATTGCTTTTCATCCTTGAGAAATAAACTGCGTATATTTCTGAAGATAAATTTCTCTGCAGTAATCAACTTTGTTGCGCAATCCCACCTTCTCTTCTCCTTCTTTCCCCCACCCCCTCTCTCTCTATCAGTGTTTTATTCAACAACAGTTTTTTTTCCTCTCCAAAGAGAGAGAGAGAGGAAAAAAACTTTCCATATCTTCACAGATTGCCTGTTTCTTTTTGTTGTTGTTGTTGTTGTTTTCTCTCTCCCCCCTCCCTCCGACTTCCTGCAAGTTTCTTTACTTTGTGAATGTGTGATTCTCTTCAACTCTTTCTCTTTCTCTCTTTCTCTCAGCTTTTGTGGTGCTAGATTGTGTGTGTGTGAGTTTGTTTTTTTGTGTAGTTTTCTTTTTCGTGTTTTGTGCCTGCATTGTTTATTTTCAGGGCTTATAGTTTGTGTTTTGTTTCGTAATAAATGTTATCAAACTTTTCAGTGGTATAATGTGCTTCTAAAATAAAATGTGTGATTCTATGGTCAGCTAAACAACAGTTATAGGAGAAATACATTTTTGGTGCAGCTATTAGAGCACCAACCCATTTTAGATCTTTTTTCTTTTTTTTTTTTTTTTTTTTTTTTTTTTAACCAGTCTTTATTTTACAAATTTTTTAATTCAAAATTTAGTCCACATTTCCATTTATATCTAATTTTGAAACTAAAAATAACTGAACAAAACCCTACTACTCACAAGCTCCTCCACTATTGAATCTTATTTAGCTGTTAACTTAAGCTCAAGAATATACTGCTTTTCCTACCAACACACTTGAGTTCTTCCTTTGTCTCCTTTATTTGTTTGCTACATGTTGTCAAGAGTTACATTACTATTCTTTTAGTGATTTAATAATTTCAACTTTAAATAATGACCACTCAAATTTATCTTACCACCTAAATGTTTAGTGTCTCAAGATAACTGATACCCAAATGGTTATGCCTGAACATTTCATTCTGATGGTGAATCACTCTGCTCAACTAGAGAGATATGAAAATAATTAATTTGGAAACAATGGTCAGATATGGATCTATCATGTACTATTTCTTGGTTTACTTCTTTGGCCCTTGAACATACTGTTTTTTTTTTGTTTTTTTGTTTTTTTTTGTTTGTTTTTTTTATAATTCTTTGATTTGAGATGTATCATGACTTATATAGAGTTTGGTTCAAGATGAAATCAAATTGTTTTCAGTGTTGCATTCTTGGAAATAGTGTCAGTCTTAATTCAAAAATTTATTGAAAAATTACTTTCCTTTTCTAAGTTAATGTCTGCAAAAAATCTTTCTCAATTAGTCATTGTTATTTCAATTTTGACTTTTCATTTTATTTTGATGTTAATAATTAAATAGCTGTTTACGTAGTGTACCTTACTTTGTATTGTACTTACACTGTTAGTTTAATAAGGGAAAAATATGACTATTTATAGATTGTATCTTTTATTTAAAGTGGAACATCAGCGAGAACCAAAATAAAAAAAAAAAAGCACTTTTGTTTAGTTCCAGGAAATATCTAATTTCAAATTAAATGGATTTTCTTTTTATTAAAATTTACATTTTGATACACTCAGATCATCTGATCACCCTAAATGCTGCCAATCATCGAACATTGCACTTGTGTATGCCTTTTTGCTCCCTGAATAATTCATTGTCCACTTAACAGCTGTCATGCAAAAGTAAATAAGAAAAACCTTTAAAAAGCATTAATTGGTGTTTAGCTCTTTGGTGATTCACAAGTTGTTGTTTTTTTTTTTTTTTTTTTAAGTTCTTTGTGAATCTTTCTCAGTTCCTAAATGAAGAAGAAACAGTCACTCCTAAATCAGCGCCTGTTTTTATTGTTTGTCGAATATCTTTGTTTTTAAAGATGTTATTTGTTTTGGTACCCACACTGATTTTGAAGAAGTCTATTAAAAAGAATTTCTCTTTCAATTGGTTAGAATACAGAAAGAATAGAAATTATAAAAATCATTTTCTTATATTTTACTATTTAATTCTCAGATACTTTTACTATTTTAGTAAAATATTATGGTATAGGTATATTTACTTCTTTTTCATGTTCATTAATCTGAAGAATGACTGGGTTTTTTTCTCTCAGTTGTTTGGGGTGTCAATAATTATTGGTCTGTTGAACATTTTACACTGAGAAGTGTGGCAAAAGGCCATACAATAGTGAAGGATATAGAAAAAAATATTCTGTTCGAATGTACAGGTTTTCTATGAAAAAAAAGATTGTTATATACTGGATTGAAGTCAGTAAATGTTATTCACAGTGAACATTGTTGTTTATTTATCAGATAAATATTCTTTTCTTTTCTTTTTTTCCTCCATCCTCTCCCTCCCTCTTCCCCCCTCTCCCTTCCCTCTCCTAAAAACAAAAACAAAACAACCCTCCCCCCAAAGACAAGCCTTTCCCCACAAAATTCTGAGTTTTTGTCATTGACAAATTTTGGGAGGTAGATTGGGTCAGGAACACTTCAATACCCACTTTTTTTATATATTAAAGCTTTGTACCACAAACTTAAGTATTCAAGTTAATAGTTAAGTTTTAAAATGATTGTGGCTAGAAACAATAGTACCATTTATAATAGTTTGCCATAGACACAAGTGAATTGTCTGTGATTTTTGAATGTTTTATGAAAGCCTTTTAGTAAAATAGGTTTAGTAAGATTATAAACAAGAAAAGTGAATATATTTCATTTGTTTTAATCAGTGTAGTATTTGCATTAAATTTGAATTGCATTTTAACAGTATTTCTGAAACTCCCCTCCCACAGTGATGGCACGTAAGAAAAAAAAAAACAACAAAATTAAATGAAAAACTTATTTAAAGATATGTATAAAATAAAAAAAAAAGTAGCTTAAGAGTATTACTATTTCTTGCAGTATTAAAAGCTTATGTAAAAAAAAAAAATAAATAAAATAATTATTTCAAAGAGGAACAATCAGTGTTTTTTGCAAAAACAAATATATTTAATTTTGTGCAAGAATTAAATTTGAAAATGAAATTCTTGTAACAAAAAGTAAATTGGCAAATCGGCAATATCATTAACAGTATTTATTTTATGCACATGCAACATTTGAAAAGAATTTCACGTCTTTTATCAACCAGATTCTGCTTTCTGACATATGCTGAAAAGTTTTCCAAAATCTGACCAAACATCATAATTCTCTAGAAACAGGTTCTTGGTTTGGGTCAAGAACTTTCAGTACACACTTGTAAACTATCTATTCAAACTAATGACAGTAAGAAACTGTTACCTTTAATTTAACTATTTTTATTTACTTTTTCTGTCATCAATTACAATGTAATTGAATAATGTATAGACAAAAACATCTTTTCAAAGATATTTTAGGACCATTGAGGTTAAAAAAAAAAAAAGAAAAATAAAAAAAAACATTTGGCAAGAAGATATCGTCTAAGTTATTTTTATTTCAGTAACATTATAAATCTTATGGAAGTATCCCCATTTTGTTTTTATGCCAGATTATAAATATCACATTGGTAATAAAAAAAATATACTTTTGTTCATTTTTTTTTTTTTTTTTTTTCTTGTGTAATGACTAAAATCAGCATTCCAAGAAGGGTTTTTCTACCCTCAGAGCATCTCTCAAAATTCTTTTCATCCACATAATATAATGCACTTGAATAAAACAAACAAACAAAATCTGCTGATGTGCAGTGAAACATTTGCATCCTACTTGATCCAATTATGTTATAATTTGCAAGCGAAAGATTAAAAAAAAAAAAATCTTGAAAGTTTCATTCAAAAGAATGTTTTTTTTTTTGGTGGGGAGGGTGGAATTGAATGGTAAAGTATTTCTTTTTATAAAATTGGGCTTAAAAAGCTAGAACAAAGCAGAAATGTAAACAACCAATTTTAATTTTCTGATATTCTCAGAAAAAATTTCACTTTTTACATTATAAAAAAATAAATTCATTGGATGGAATTTTTTTTTTTTTTTTTTTGTCTATACCTGGTCTTAAGGATTTTTCAAGTTTATAAATATCTTGTTATTTTAAGAGGACTTGTTAATATTTTTTTATTTCAGCTACTTTCTATGAAGTGTGACACAAAAGGAAGTATGACATCTCTTTACAGCAAGTCTGATAAAAAAAAAAAAAAATTTAAAAGATCATTTATTTTATTACCATATTTAATTCAAGTCAGTTCCCAAAAGAAAATCATTAAATATGGCCAAAGTAAAATATTGGGTTACCCAAAAAGTTTGTATATTTTATTTAGTTAAAGAGGATGAAACTTATTTTTAAACATTAATATTCTTGAACAGTATATTAACATTTTTTTTTCTGACCTTCTGCTGTCTTTCAAGTTACTTCATAATTCCGTCTGTCTTGGAGTTTTTTTAATCTTTCTCAGCATTTGACTGCCCTAAGTGATTTTTCAGATTTCCAGGGAATTTAAATTTAAAACTGGAATAAATGGAAATCAAAAGATACCATATTTAATGAGAGAGTGATAAACTAGTCTTCAATATTTTTTTTCTTATCCTAGTTACCAAGAAGAATGATGCAT